CTTAGAAGATTTTTTTTTTGCCTCATATCTCTCCTCTCATCTCTCAGGAATTCTGCAGCTTTAAATAACCCTCATCTCAGAGTGTTTCCCATGTTCCAGTCACACTTTCCTCACACCCTTCCATTTGTCACTTACTTTTTTTCACTTTTATCAGACAATTGAGGCTTCTCCATTATTCACAAGGCACATGCACTGCAGCCTCAAAAGGTGTTAGTCACTGTCTAAATACACACTCACAATACTAGAAGAAAGCTACGCCTGCCATAAAAAAGCAGACAAATAGTATTGTCTGGGAAGATGTATCAGTTACAGCAGGGTATGTGGGCACTTTATATATGACACCTCTTTTATTGAAATTTATGTTTTGGAAGGAAGCTGCAAATAATGCTCGTAGTCATTTTTAACCCAATGTTGAGATCAACTGTTCAGCTTAAAATAAAGACTGCAGTTTTACATGTAAGATTAACACACACACACACACACACACACACACACACACACACACACACANATCATTTTCACACACACACACACACACACACACACACACACACACACACACACACACACACACACACACACACACACACACACACACACACACACGAGGAGAAACACACACCAGTTTGTTGAGCGCTGGGTGCTTCTTCCAGGACGAGGCTCCGTTAGAGTCCAACACTGTGAGCAGCGCCGAAGACCACGCTGATGAAGAAGCTCTGGAGTCGGATCAGGACTCTCCGCATCTGGAGACCAAACAAGTCCCCTCACCCCTGGTCTAGAGCTCATCGCCCTCCATCAACTGGAAACTTAACCCTACTGGTCAAAGGTTTCCACAAGTCTAGTCCAGTTCCCTTCAACTGGGTCCAAGTTTTTATTTTTTTTACTATGAGCCAATCGTTGGGTCGTATTTAAAAACCAAATGAGTCTGGATTTATGGAGACCAACAAGATCCAGTCTATGAGAGGGACTACTTGAATTGGAACCAGTTTGGTCTAATTAAACCACTGATCTAGATGTAGTTCTGGAGCAAATCTATGGGATAAATCTTGTGCCAGCAGCAGTGGTGGGCAGCGCTAATCCAAAAGTTAGCTCCGTAATTTCTAAAGCGCTTATGAAAATATTTAGGTTCGCAACTTCAAAAGTGCTTATAACATAGAAAAACTAGCAGAAGCTAATTTTAAAGCGCAAGTTCAATTTGACACTTACTAGCTGGCAACAATTCATGTACAATATATACACAACACTGCCAACTAGTGGTGTATGAACTGTTGTACAGCTTAATCCTACAGCTGCAGATTGCTGGGGAAGTGATTTCCTGAAACAGACCTTTAGCTCCTGGTGTAAAAATTAAAAAGTTGTTGAGGATTGCTAGTTCGGCAGCTTCTTGGTCTTTTCCTTTTGTTTGTTGTAGATTTTTCATAAAAGAAGCATTAATAATTTTAAAACAGTTTATTGGAAAACTGAAGCGATGCATTCTGGGTACATGACAGATTTGATTTGTGACGGGAAACGAAAGCACGGTGTACAGGAAACTATCTTCCCTTCAAAATAAGAGCCTGAATTTTAAGGTATTCCATGTAGTTGCTCCAGTTGACCACTAGATGTCAGTCTTCATCAGCATAACATCTTTAAATCATTTCTGTGTCTCTAACACCGTTGGCCGATTGCTTCGACCAATTATGTCAAGTACTGAGCTCCAGCGTTTAAACTTTATTTATTTATTTATTTATTTATTTTTAAAAGGAGCTCTAGTTGTAAAGTAAAATAAATCAATACATATAAAATTTTAGTATGGATTACAAACATTAACTGTTTTTGCTATTGCCTTCCTGTTACGTAAGCAGACACAAAGCATTGTGGGAAATCAGAACCGTGGCTCAATGCAACAGTCAGCAGGATGTATCAGTGTGTTTATCTGGGAGGGGTGCTGTTGGATAGATCACATGTGTTGTGATTCATTGACAGTCACACCTTCTGCTGTTCAACATAATGATGACTGGTAGATAATTAGTTATTAGCGGTACTGCATTTTAATTTTAGAAAGCGCAAATCCGCTTATGAATTATAAAAATTAGTAAGTCAGCTAAAGCACAAATGAAATATTTAGGTCAGCAATTAGCGGATTTGCACTTTAGCGGGCTGGTGCCCACCACTGGCCAGCAGGAACTGAATTTGAATTGCTCAGATTGAATCTGAATGTGCATAAATTGAAACTGAATTTAATGGTTTGAATTTGAATTAATTTGCTTTGAAACTGTTTTGATTACTTTCACTTTCAGTTCTATAATTTAGATTTTTGTGTCACATCCTGGTCCTTGAGAAAGCCGGCCAGAGTAATCAAACAGATCGACAGATTTACGTTTCACTTCAGTAAAGCTTCGCTGAGTTGATGCAATCCACCATAAAAGTGACAAAAACAAGTTATTTTATTGCAGTGATTAATTTTACCTATAGACAGTGTTACATTTACATCCCATCATTACAGGATTTTGAGAGTTACATTACAGAAGGAAGCTTTACCAAAGTGAAACATAAATCTGTGGATCTGTGTTTGATTACTCTGGCTGGCTTTTCTCAAGGATCAGGATGTCTGAAACATAAATCTGAATATTGGAACTAAAATTGAAAGTAGTCAAACTGAATTTTTAATAAACCTGAACAAATTAATTCAGTTTCAATTTAGTGGAATTCATTTTCAAACCAATTCATTCAATTTT